AATCGTCCTAATTTACACAAAGCAAATGCTGGGGAAAAACAAACACAAGCCCAATAAATGCGACATTTTTTTTTAAATCATTGCCCTAAACGGTATTGCTAAAAGCACACTAAACATGGAGTAGCAATTCCTGCCCTAAGAGATATATAGTACAAAAAATAAACACAACAGCTAGGGCAAATCCTTAATCTTTCTTCATATGATGTAAACAAACTCTCTTTAATTTTATGTGTTTAAGTCAAGATTAAAACATTTTGCACCACCCGGACCTTTAAACTTAGGAGGACCTTTTCTTATACGAGCCGGACCTTTTCTTATAAAAGGCGGACCTTATATGTTATCGTATTAGGTCCCCCGGACCTTTAAACGAGGTGGACCAAATATTATGCGACACCGGTCACACCCGCCTTGAGCCCTATGTTTTGAACAGGTTAATCTAATATTACAAGACTAAATGATGAGAACTCTAATTCTTGATTTAAGATTTTTTTAAAATTTATATCAATCCGTTTTTGTCAACTAAAACCCGATTAAACGTCATCCTTAATTAATTAACTTTTAAAATATTTCAAAGAGCGTCCTTGTATTGGAAAATACTACAATAGCTTTGTGACACAGAATTCTTGATTTTTACAGAAAAAATAGGTTTTTGAGGCACATTCAGCAAAGACCTTAAATATGAACAAACTCCTTGATCCAAAAAAATAAAATTTCATGAACAGTTCCATTATAAATATTTTTACTTTTTGTATCCATGTTTTGCTCTTTAAGGAATACTTAAAAACAGCTTAAAATATTGTCCAATTTCAAGACGTACAAGGAATGGGAATAATGACATAATTAATGACGCCACAATACATTGAGCAACAAAATTACGTCATTTTTAATATACATATATGTAGTCCTCATAATATTTGTCAACTGAAATTGAACAGGATTTTTTTTCAGAATTTTACATGACCTAAAATGCTTTTAGTGAACTTTGCCTTTTTCTTTTAACTTTATAATTCAACAAATGTAATAATGAACCAGTTTGCATTTTATTATCTCAATTAAAAATTCTACCAAACCTGTACCATGTTAATCTTTAAAATGTCACATATGACAGGTTATCACACAGCGGTCTGTAAACTCAGTGAATTTTCAGAGATAGGGATTGAAAGAAGTATTATATTCTTATTGCTGACGTTTTTCAAAAAAAAAAAAAAAATATTGGGACAAAGTAAAAAATTCATCCGTAATTATACGTAGAAACAGTTTACTTATACACGTATCTATAAAAATATTCTGTATTTATCACATATTTACAAAATGACAAATTAATGACAAAAACAAAAAATGTTTGAGAAACATGTATGCACCCATTGTGGCAATATTAAAAAGAGTCACCTTTAAATTTAGAATGTCTATAACGATAGTGAAGTAGATGGGTAACCTACTAGTCAGGGGCAAACATAATTCATAGCTTGATCTCTATCAAACCTTGACATCACTACTTAAAGGGTACCAATGTACCAAGTTTGATGACTGTCAAGCAAATGGTTCTCAAGACATTGTGCAGTCAGTATCTCTGCAAGTCCAGTTTTACCACTGACCTTTGATTTTGTGACCTCAAAATTTAAGGGGCACCAATGTAACAAGTTTGATGTCAGTCAAGCAAAGCGATCTGAAGAAATTAATTGGATAGTATCTATTATTTCTTTTTTGACCTTGTCCTCTTGAGATCAAAATCAATAGGGGTTATCTACTCTTTAGAGGGAGCCAGTGTACCAAGTTTGATGTCTGTCAAGCAAAGGGTCTCAAGGTATTGAACGGTCAACATCTTAATATGTCCAATTTTACCTCTTGACCTTTGCCTTTGTGACTTCTAAATCAAAAGGGCTCATCTACTTCTTAAGGGAAACCAATGTAACAAGTTTGATGTCAGTCAAGCAAAGAATTCTGAAGATACTAAGTGGACAATATCTTCCTATGTCTTGAGTAGTTTGAACCTTAACCTTTGACCTTGTGACATCAACATCAATAGGGTTATCTACTCCTTAATGGAATCAGTGTATCAAGTTTAATATTAGTCAAACAAAGGGTTCTCAAGATACTGAGCAGATAACACTTGTTCTACCGACTGAAATACATATATACTGACCGACTAACCAATCAACCAACCGACAGGTGTAAAACAGTATGTCCCCTTATTTAGGGGAGGGGGATAATAAAATATAATAGAATACCCTTAAAACTGTGTATTGTTTTTCTTCTATAGATCTTAGAAGAAATGAAAATGTGCATCAAATATTTACAGCCATGCAGCATTTTAAATATTGAAATATATATAACTTCTGTGGTACATGTAGGAATAAGGAAAGTGAATGTCAAGTCTGGACCTAGAAACTTATGAGGCTCATCCTTGATAAAAAGGTACAGTGTAGCTTATGAGCTGGGCTATATCTTGACTCTATACAAAAGTCATTTGAACAAGGTTAAGGTCACAGGCTTCAAAAGTAAAAACCAAACTTTGAAATGAAACAAGAGGCCCAAGGGCCTTGAATCGCTCCTCTGATAAACTGTACAACCTTTCACTTCTATTTGAAGCCTCTAAGTATCCTGTATATTTAGATAAATCCTTGAAATTCCAAAGGTAGGTCATCATGACCTACATTTTAGATAAAACACTCTGAGAACCCAAGATGACTCTTAGCAAATTAGTACCTGAGAGTAGGTCATGGTAACCTACTTATCACTTGGCATTCTCTGAGGACCCATAGCCATATAAATTGAAAAGTAGGTCATTGTGACCTACTTTTCAGTAGACATACTCCGAGGACCCAAGATGCATCAACTGACAAATTTTGATGATTCTAAGCCAAATAATACCCGAAAATATTTAAATACAGCCATGAAATTTCAAAAGTAGGTCATAGTGACCTATTTTTCAGTTGTCGTTCTCCGAGGAGCCAAGATGCATCAACTGATAAAGTTTGATGATTCTAAGCCAATTAGTACCTGAAATATTTATATATAGCCATAAAATTTCAAAAGTAGGTCATGGTGACCTACTTCTCAGTTAAAATTACTATGAAGACCAAAGATGCATCAACTAACTTTGATGATTCTAAGCCAATTAGTACCCAAAATATTTAATTATAGTCATATAAATTGAAAAGTAGGTCATGGTGACCTACTTTTCAGTTGACCTACTCTGAGGGCCCAAGATACATCAACTGACAAAGTTTGATGAATTTAAGCCAAATTGTACCCAAAATATTTAAATATAGCCATAAAATTTCAAAAGTAGGTCACAGTGACCTACTTTTCCGTTGACATTTTTCAAGGACCCAAGATTCATCAACTTACAAAGTTATATGATCATAGGCCTTAAAATGTCCAAAATATTCCTCTAAAATGCTTTGAAATTGAATGCCTGCAAAGTTCAAAATGTAGGTCACTGTGACCTACTTTTTAATAAATATGTTTTATGGCTCCAAGATGCATCATCTTACAAGATTTAATGATTCTAAACCTCTCAGCATTCGAATTAATGACCTTAAATGTTTTGAAAAAGATTAGCCATAAAATTCAAAGTAGGTCAAGGTGACCTACTTTTTATTTGACATACTCCGAGGACTCAAGATACATAAACTGACAAAGTTTGATGATCATAGGCCTTAAATGCATGATGGCAGCTGCAGATCCCACTTCCCATTACTTACCACCCATCATGGTCAGGCATAAAATCAATTACTCAACTGCAAAATGCTATCAAGTACATGTAGGGTCATCAATAGTTGCTTACAATGTAGCTCTCTAGGAGTTTACTATTACTGTTACTCCATCTATACACAATATATGAGCTAACATAAGTTGCAGTCTCCTTGGTCAAAAAAAAAAAAATCACAACAAAGATATAATCTTTTGGTATTCTTGTCAAAATTAACTTAAAGCAAAAAGCTGGGGAGCTTAAGACTGGCAGAAACAATAATGGCAAGGATGTGTATCTGGCCAAAAAGTTGTTTGTAACAATCTTGCATTCTTGAGCCTGTACATTGGCTGTCACAAACAGTAGCATTACTAACATATTGACTGTAAAATATTTGCTACAATTAGAGACACAATTGTTTGGTGCTGCAATATGGCTGTCACTGATGAGAATTTGTAACTGTATAAAAAATCATACTTTTATCTTAAAATATGTTGATTCATACTGAAAGAACTAAATCGTTGGTACAACTAGTGGTGGCACCTGTTGTACGTCCTCATTTGTGGTAGGACATTTCAGATGTTGAATGGTGATTTAGCCTCTTGAAACCAGTTTACAAGGAAAATCTTTGAAGGTACATAAAAACTTTATCACTTCGGTCAGAGTACAGGTACCACTAATGAAACTTAAACATATGTAAGATCATTTAAAGACAAAACTGCTCCTGCTCCAAAAGTGGTTTTCCTGAAGAATTTGGTCACAACTGATTCCAATGCATGATTTTAAGTCTTAATTCACATTGATGGGGTGAATGACCACACAACTAATTGTGATTAGCTGTGATCAAAATTAAGAAACAAGACTGAAGCAAACATAAGCAATTGGTTAACCTCAATCAAATCATCACAAATCAGATTATTGTATTATCCAGTTTGTCTGATGTTTTACCAACCTCTCATCTCTCACACTCGTATCACTCTGCATCTTAACTGCACTGAATAAATGGATTTTTTCAAATGTCACAAAAAATATACATTAATGCAGACATCAATAGCTTATGGTCATCAACAGCAGAATTACTGTCCATGGATTATTTTAAGTAAAGTACATAGATCAGAAATATATGGGGTGTTGCAATTTTGAATCAGAGCTAGCAGTATTTCATTGTAAAATACACTTTGGCTGTATCTTATAAATCATTGCACCAAATGTGCCAAGGTGAAGATGGAACAAAAATAAGTACTAATACAGCATATATGCATATTGAGCCATCTAGATGAATTGCTTTGGGTGAATATTAACCTACCTAGATTCCACTTGAGTCCCTGAGTGGTGACACATCTACAGGGTTCACCGATAGGGATCAAACCACACCACTCCCCACAAAGTGCTGGATCCACCAATATCTTATGTTTACCCTGTAAAATTAAGAACTCTTATGTTAAATATATGTGTTCTGGTTTAACCATGGTGAGTATTTGTTTTTTTTTCCATGCTGTGTTCTTGTTTTGCATGTTCAGAATCTGACACAAAAGAAAGCATAGTTTGTGAATTAAGTAAATGTATGTGAATTATAAATAGAAGTTAAAATATTGGATGTTTTGAAAACTTTTTTATGTAACAATATGCAAACAAAATTTTAAATGAGTTGCAGTCATGAAAAAAAGATGTCTATTACATATCTGCCAATGGCCAATCAAAAGACTAGATGTTTTGAAAACTTTTTTATGTAACAATATGCAAATAAAATTTTAAAAGACTTTTATGAAAAAAAGATATACTTGAATAAAATATATTTTAAATCAAAAAAGATGCCTAATACATCTCTGCCAATGGCATGTCTTACTGTCTGTAGTAGGAAAGCTACAGTGTCCTCTGAGAAATGCATCACATTGGCACTAGTGTACTGACTGGCTTCAAACAAAGTGTTCACATTGGCAAACACATGGTCAAGTCTGCCCCCAAAGGTTCCATACACATAAATATTGTCTATCTGCAAATTGTACAATAATTCTTTTAACACCTTAATAAGTTAAAAAAAAAAGATTACATCTACAAGGACAAGGTGTGAAAACATTCAAACCCATAAACATTAATGTTCCTCATTATCAGCAAATATAATTGTATATTGGTACTGTATTTTTAATTTCATTCTGAGATAGTTACATAGGTCTAGAATTGAATTTTTTCTATGGTATCGATCATACCTACAGCTTTTAAACTGTTAACTATATATCTGTATATACAGCCCAAATTTACTATGCCCTAAATTAAAACACAACCATACGGCATGCATAAGAATTGAAGGAATACATCAATACTGTAAATTTCTAGGTCTAGTTACAGCTTTTCACAATTCTGGAACATGAATGGTTTTCCTTTTTTTTCTCTTAATATCTATTTGGTGAATAAACAGTTTCAATGTCATATATTTCTCTTACTTGTTTGTCCTTGTTTCTTTTGCCTATCTCCATTATGGCCTTTGTGAAATCTGTGTAGTTTTGATCTTGGGTTGGCACAATCTCTACTCCCTGTTGAATCATTTAAATTTATAGTTAACTTTATTATATATAAACACACACACACAGATATATATATATATATATATATATATATATATATATATATATATATATATATATATATATATATATATGATCATTTTCCAGTTTTATCAACATGTAAAAACATAAGAGCTATTTTGCTGATTTTCACATTTTTATGTTATGATTTAAGTTCTATGCTGAACTTTTTAATGCTTAAAGAAACTGGGGGGATAAACCGAGCCATATGCCTACATAACAATCGATAAAAAATCAATAAATTCATTTTACAAAGATTTCACTATTTGTTGAATTAATGTAATGCGTATTACCATTTGCATACAAATTTCACAAAACCTGAATACTGTAACAGCGAAAATGATTCTGATTAACACAACAAAATGGCATCACGCTCAATTTTCACAAAAACTGACATAAATTGGATGATATACCTACATTTTTTAAATAGAGTGGGTCATCGTACCATTTTTTTGAGAACGATTAATGAAAGGCAATGGAAAGATGTTGCTTTTTACACTTGCAAAAATTTGGTATGAAGACCCACTCTACATAAAAAATTAAGTTAACATACTTAAATTTTCACCCTGGTCTTAAAAAATTCTAAGTCCATATACGCTTGCTAAATGTAGAGAACTGTATGCTATTTAAATGGGCATGTATGTGTGACTCCGTGGTCTAGTGGTTAGCGAAGTGCTCTTTAAAGGAACGTTTATTGAGGAAAGTGTTCGAATCATGCTCTGATTTTTTAATTTTTTTTGTTTTTTTTTTTTTGTTTTAATTTTGTTTTACTTTATAAAAATGTCTATAGGAATAACATATTTTTCACTGGAAATAAAATATATGTATGTAGTAATGAATTCATTTACAGTAAATTATTTAAAATGCAGGATAAAAATTATAATAGATATTTGAATATTTTATTTATTTTTACTACAAGCACTTCTAGATCACCACTATCATTATATACAATGTTAACATTTTTATAATATCTCCACAATAAGTGTTAACACTCAATATGCAGATTAAATAATAGAAGTCCCTACCCATGTTAGACACTTGTGACAGTAAATGAAAGTCAACTGTTTAGCTTGGTTAGAATATAAATATCATTTTGAAAACTACTGTAAACATTAAAATGATTAAGTAAATTCAAACAATTGAGATATTTTTTCCAATAAACGTTCTTGCATAGCCGAAAAATGGGCATGGGCACATGGCTCGTCTTATCCCCCCAGATTCTTGGCAAGAATATTGGTTGTATGACCATGTTATATATCTCAGCAATTCTTTCTATAGTATCTTTCATGTCATACAGATACATGTACATGTAATCATTATTGTGTAGATAAATAATTAAAATCATCATGATTTTGTAATCAACAAATGACTATTGCGTACATGTACGTTGAACACTATATTGTCTATATATGCACCTTCACTCAATAAACATATTCCCCAATTGAAGAGGTGTGGGTTGGGGGGGGGGGGGGGGAGTGAATCTATATCAGACTGTTGTCCATTTCATGAATTTAATATACTTTTTAAAAATTTTGTAATACCTAGCTGGAAGTTTAGAGAGAACATGTGTCTCCTGAAATTTTTATGTGTGACCCTCTCAGGACAGACAGATGAAGGGACAGATGATGGACAAAATGATCTTTGGTTATCTGCAAATTTCAACATATGATTCAAAAACAAGATAAATATTTGACAAATCTATCAGTGCACTTACTTTCTCTTGATAAAACTTCTTGACAGATTCCTGGATAGAATCAAAATCTCCTGTGATTAAATCGGGGAGAAAGGCTGGAGCATTATCCCTGAACGCATTGTGTAGATGGTTACAGCCGCCATCTACTGCCACTCGAAACAAGGCTAAAACACAGATACATGTACTCCTTAATTTTACATTTAAATTCAGGAAACATCTTACTTTGTCTATAAGCAAAAGTAGCAAAATTTCAAAATGATTATTTTAAAAATTTGAAAATGTTCAAAATAATTATTTCAACAAAAAAAATATTTTACAGAAACTGGGAGGAACATGTAATCTGTAAAAATAAAGTCAATTGCTTAAATTTTTATCCTCATTAGTCAAATGTAATATATGCATAATTCTTGCCTTTATTCCATAAAGCTGTAAGAAATGACTTGTTATATGGATTCGGCTGATTCAATAGCAGTAGGGATATCCTTGTTTCTGAGAAGGGAAAAAGAAAAAGAAAACATCTCATCACCCATTTGTTTAAATTTATCAGCATAAAAAAGTTTTCTTTCATTATGTAAATTGTTCATTATCTGATAATTAAGTTTTAATAACATACAAGAGGCCCAAGGGCCTTAACGGTCACCTGAGTATAATACAACAATTTACAGGATCCATAGAGTATAAAATAAACTGAAATGTGAAGCTTTGTTGCCCAAAAGCAAGAAAAATAGGGTGATCAGGATCAACAAAATAATTAGTCTACTGTTTATTAACAGCTAGTTCATAAATTAGGTTCTAATCTGTTCCCCATTTATCATTATCACCATACAGTATATTAACAAATGATCAGTGATTCTGCACTATTTTTAATTCCTTGATGAAATCTCTTGCATAGGACTCTCTTGGTCTTTGATGAACATTGAATAAGACAAGTTATTTTTGTCTCATTTTTATTTATCTATTACTTACAAGTCTACTGATCATTTAAACTAAAAAAGTACTTTTTGTATTATACAATAAAAATTCTTGCATAATTCTCTTATTCTATTAACCTTTCAAGTACATTATTTAAAGTGATTAATTATCAAAAGTAAATGGCAAAGGGGAATAACTCCTCTCAGTTGAATACAAATTAATAGAGCCCTGGCCAGGACCAGAACACTTGACCAAATGGTCCAGATGTTTAAAAATCTGGTTAAAAAAACCCCTTCCTTATTAAAACTTTTACTCTTTTTGCCTCTGATATGCCCAGGTGCAGAGAAGATTTTTAAAGAAATAATGCATTTTTACCACAGATTCACTATATTATCAATAGAGCCCCCCCCCCCCCCCTTCTGCACCGAGAAACACCAGAGCCTCTCACCCTGGGATCAGAAGTTTGCTCATCATAGGTAATCACTTTGTTTATCTGCTTAACACTAAGGAGCAGACAGGATTATTTAATAGAATTAATGCATTTTCACTATATTATCAACAGCCCCACCCTTACACCAGCACATCTGACCCAGGGGTCATGCAATTCACTACTCTGGAAGAAGCACTCTTGCTCATCATAACTATATACTTAGCTTTTTTGCTTTTTAACCAGAAGCAGAAAAGAATATTTTCAAAGACATTTTGCTTTTTCATTATATAATCAATAGAGCCCCCCACTTTTTCACCAGAACCCTTCACCCTGAGGCCATGAAATTCACAATTTTGGAAGAGGCATCCTTGCTTATCATAACAATGTACTTAGTTTGTTTAAATAATACCCAGGAGCAGAGAAGAAGATTTTTAAAGCATTAATGCATTTTCACTATATAATAAATAAAGCCCCACTCTAACATCAGAATCCCTTATCCAGGGGCCATGAAATTCACAATTTTGGAAGAGGCATCCTTACTTATCATAACTATGTATTTAATTAGTTTAGACAATACCCAGGAGTGTAGAAGAAGATTTTCAAAGAAATAATGCACTTTTACTATATGATCTATATAGCCCCGCCCTAGCACCAGAACCCCTGACCCTGGGGCCATGAATTTCACAATTTGGTAGAGTCACTCTTGCTTATCATAACTGTATTTAATTTGTTTCAATAATATCCAGGAGTAGAGAAGAAGATTTTCAAAGAAATAATGCACTTTCAGTATAGGATCTATATAGCCCCACCCTAGCACCAGAACCCCTGTCCCTGGGGCCATGAAATTCACAATTTTGGAAGAGGCATCCTTGCTTATCATAACAATGTACTTAGTTTGTTTAAATGATACCTTGGAGTAGAGAAGAAGATTTTCAAAGAAATAATGCACTTTCACTATATGATCTATATAGCCCCCCCCCCCCCCCCCCAGCACCAGAACCCCTGACCCTCGGGCCATCAATTTCACAGTTTTGGTAGAGTCACTATTGCTTATCATAACTATGTATTCAATTTGTTTCAATAATACCCAAGGGTACAGAAGAAGATTTTCAAAGAAATAATGCACTTTTACTATATGATCTATATAGCACCGCCCTAGCACCAGAACCCCTGACCCTGGGGCCATCAATTTCACAATTTTGGTAGACAGCTCAATGCTTATTACAATCATGCCAACAGTTTGACTGCTTGAGGTCCAGGAGTAAAGATGAAGATTTTTAAAGATTGCATTAATTTTGGTGGTTTTAGCCCCACCCCTCAGGCCCAAGGGAGGCAGGGACCATGAAATTCGCAACTTTTGTTCCCCTTCACACATATATGCCATATGCTAAAATTGGCTGAAATTGGTTCAGCGGTTTCAGAGAAGAAGCTGAAAATGTTCAAATGTTAACACACGACGCACAACACATGACGACGGACGAAAACAGATTGCAATAGGTCACCTGAGTGACTCAGGTGACCTAATAATCAATAGAGCCCCACCCTAACACCAGAACCCCTGACCCTGGGGCCATGAATTTCACAATTTTGGAAAAATCATCCTTGTGCACCATTATCATGCACTTAGTTTGTTTAAATAATACCCAGGAGAAGAGAAGAAGATTTTCAAAGAATTAATGCATTTTCACTATATAATCAATAGAGCCCTGCCCTAACACCAGAACCCCTGACCCAGGGGCCATGAATGTCACAATTTTGGAAAAGGCATCATTGCTTGTCATAACCATGCACTTAGTTTGTTTAAATAATACCAAGGAGAAGAGAAGATTTTCAAAGAAATAATGCACTTTCACTATATGATCTATATAGTCCTGCCCTAGCACCAGAACCCCTTACCCTGGGGCCATCAATTTCACAATTAGGTAGAGGGCCCAATGCTTATTACATTCATGTCAACAGTTTGACTGCTTGATGTCCACGCAGGAGTAAAGAAGATTTTTAAAGATTGCATCAATTTTGGTGCTTTAAGCCCCACCCCTGGGGCCCCAGGGGGGCAGGGACCATGAAATTCATAATTTTTGTTCCCCTTCACCCAAAGATGCTATATGCCAAAATTGGTTGAAATTGATTGAGCGGTTCTAGAGAAGAAGTTGAAAATGTTCAAAAGTTAACGCACAACAGACGACGCACGACGACGGACAAAAACGGATAGCAACAGGTCACCTGAGTGACTCAGGTGACTTAAAAAAGGCAGAATTCTTGAAAGAATTATAATTTTATTAATCTATAATTTTATAATTTTCCACTAAACATCATTAAAAAATCTGCACATTTAGGGTATCCACAATTTCTTGAAACATTTCAGTAAGAAATTTCTGTGTAGTTTTATAATATCAGAAATGATCAATATCATATAAGTACACGTATTATCATAATTCTGATTATCTTAGTTTATTTACATAAATCCCTATATACATGTATTTACCAGCCTTATCTTGAAAACAGTCCAAGGGTTTCCATACTGTAATCATATTGCTTTACTGCAAAAGTCTTAAAATAAACAAGAATACATTTTAATACATGAATGAAATATGTAGAAATAATTTGATAACCCTGCAGGAATAATTAAACTTAATTCCTTATATCTGTAAATTTAGTACTTGCAATTGAACTTCCAATGCTTTATGATGCTAATTGACTTTTAGTTTTATGTCTAGATCTTATATTTATCAGTTACTTTCTGAGAAATTCAGTGTGTTTTGACTGACTTGATCCACACACTGTAACTTTACAATTGTTTTTAATGTCTGAGTTATCACCAATGTTAATTTTGAGCATGATCAGATGATTAATATATAGCCCTTTCTCAACATATGTATAGTGTACATATGATTAAAAAAAAGAACATTATGGCACACCAAAATCACATAAACTAGATAAACATAGTTTCACAGTTGATAAACTAGGTTTATCGACTGTAAACTATAGTTTAAGCCAAAAACAATAATAGTCTTGTTTCCTGCTACCCGACCTACCCTATTTTTTTGCACCCGACCCTAAAGTTTTTTTTAGTTTTGGAAAAAAAAATTGTGAATTTCAGGAATTTCATGTTCCAAAACTGAAAAAAATATATATTCAATTGGTATTTCATGAAATTCTATGTTTTAAATATGGACTTTCATAAAATACTACTTGAGTTGTGCATCAAAAGACATGAAATTTAATTTTAAAAGATAATATTGACCTATGACATGTTTAATTTGGTTTTGTATTGGTTCATATCCAAAAAATACCGTCGAAAAAATAAAATAAAATAAAAAAAAATAAAATAATTTTCCTACCTACCTACCCTATTTTTTTCAGGCTGGTAGCAGGAAACAAGACTATTATTTTTTTTTTTTTTGGCCTTACGAACTGTAAACTATCATTAATATTCATTAACTATAGTTTTCATCTATAAAACTATATTTAATGGTTGTAAACTAAGTTTTTGCTGATAAATAGATTTTGCTGATAAATATAGATTCTCATTTGTAAGCTATAATTTACACTTGTTAACCATAGTTAAGAGTCATAGTTTCACAAATTATGTAACTATGTTTATCAGATAAAGTATGTTTTACATTCGATAATTAAAGATTTTAGCTGTAAACTATAGTTAACTGTCATTAATACTCATTAACTATATTTAACAGATGTAAACTATAATTATCCATTGTAAACTATAGTTTTGAGAGACAGACTATGATTCACATTTGCCAATCATAGTATATCCTCATAAACTATAATTCACACTCTTGAACTATAGTTAAGAGTTGTTAAACATAGCTTATGAATCCAAACGATAGTTTTCAATTCAAAATCTCATGGAACAAAGCGTGAGAGGCAATACTAAATGTTTGTCATTTCTGTAAGTTCTATATAAAAACAAAAAACAAATCTTGCTTCATTTAAACAGAATTACTGGAGTAATTCATCTTCTTGATAATCTTAAATTTATGTCAAGCTTTCAGCAAATCTTTTGATACCAGCAGTGCTCAGTCAATTTTATTTGATCAACGCAAAAGGTTGGTAAGACAATTGGCATGATTATATAAATGTGAGTGATTTATTTTGTTGCTGATGAAGAAAATTTGCTTTAAAATGATTGATAAAAAATTACTTTTAAAGTAAAAAAAAAAATATAATAATATATTTTTAAACCCAATGAAAACAATCGTTGCAAAGAAAAAAATTATCATACTGTAACTACATGTAGAATTCACCTATCTTTAATTTACGGACAAAACTATTGTTATAACTATTGAGTTTTGATCGTAAACAATACTTTAATCATAAAATATAGTTTTACATAAAAATTTGTGCATCTCTGATACAAAATCAGATATTTATTTGTCACTCAGGGGTTCAGTATACAATTTGAAAATAAATTTTCCCATGGCAGCTATGTACAGCTATATCTTATGATTCTGACAATCAGAGAGACAAGTGTGATAATGCCCACAAGGCCCTGAACTGCAGTATAGGAAGACGAGGATTGATTGATTGATTGTATGTTGTTTTACGTCCCATTCGAGAATTTTTCACTCATATAGAGACGTCACCATATACCGGTGAAGGGCTTCAAATTTTGACCTTTACTCGGCACTCAGGGCCTTTGAGCAGTGAGGGATCTTTATCGTGCCAACGCCTACCGTGACACGGGGCCTCGGTTTTTAAGGTCTCATCCGAAGGACCCGCAACTTTCACTTCAAAGTGCCGAGCGCATGGCGAAGGAACAGTTGCTAAGACGAGGAAAACAAGCAACTGTATAATAGTTGCAAAAACTAAAGGAGTTTTCAATATCAGGAAAACATAAAACAAAGTGTTTGTTTTAAGAGAGACAGAGGAATGAATCTCAAACAGTTACAAGGAGAGAACAGATGGAGTAGGATGTCTGACAGTGGGATGGTGACCAGAGGACACGGTATTTTTTTAAACCCGATTTATGACAGAACCACATACAAACTGATAGCCAGAAATACGTCTCATTCCTGTCTGAAGAGACAGTATAAACAACTGACAAACATGGTGAAATGGTTTACCCCTATAACACAGAAATAGCACGTGTGTTTCTTCGCCAGACTCCGCCTCCAATTTGTTGTCAAACCATAACATTTCTTCCTTCGAACATAGAAGAGCGATTTTCGCGGGGAATGCAAAATCTTGAAAATGACAACAAGCAGTGGAAGACCACGCCGAAAATGTGTTTCCGTCTCTTTTGTTGGCGACGACGATGTAATAGGGCATATATTTGATACAAATCAGGGAAAGAAAGGTATTGTTAGATAATATGTCATCGAGTAAAATCACGTTTTTTTTTTACTGTACTGGAGTAGATGAAACAGAGTTCGAATTTTCTCACTTTCAGATTTTGAGAATTTCTTGTTGCAATATGGTATAACTTATGTCCTCAATTTAATCTATTGCATTCCCATGATTCTATGCCTTTTGAAAACTGAAGTTTTTGTTTTAAGGTCATAAATTTTTTTTGTTTCCTCTCCCTATAATCTGATAATGAGAATGAACCAGGGACCTATATACTAGTATATAGGTCCCTGAATGAACTCCATAAATGGAGTGTTCAGCAACATATTCCAGCTGGATGTCCCATGTACATTCTCAAAGGTATTAATGCGCAGTAGTGTATGTGCTACCAGGGACGTATAAACTAGTATGTACATTCCTGGTGCTACAATTATATCTAATTGTACAGGGAACCAGGAATACAGTAAATTGTAGTTAGAATAATATATTAACTGTGTCTCCAGACAAGCTTTCACCACAGTTAGAATGTGTTCCGGCCATATTGTTGCAACGTAGCATATTGGTCCGGATCTGCTCTGGAACGATTTTGAAGAATACAAAAGGAGTTACACTGAAAATAACTACCAAGTCAATCTTAACACAATTTTGAATTTGTAAATATCTTCTACCCAAAAAATAATCTATATAAATTAAGACAAAAATCCAACTCATTTTCTCAACAATTTTTCTTGCTTTGCATGCTATGTTGACATTCAGTACTCTTTGGATTATTTGTAGAAAATGAATAGATAAGAATTATCATTCATTTTGCTACTTTGACAACATATAGAATGAATTCTATTGTTAAACTGGTACATATGACAATACCATTTTAACGTAACATAGAACATTCAGTCTATAAGTAAATTGTAAACATGGCATTAGAAGAGATGTCAAAACTTTCAATGTAAAAACAAGCAACACATATTCTATTAGTTTAAAACAAGAAATTAAATAATTTGTGATTTTTTTATAGCAAAACCAAGAAACAGATTGTCTTTACAACATAAAAGGGGAAGCCAGTTGAAATACACAGAAGATATAGAACACATTGAAGAAAGTGGTAGTGATAGTAATGAGGAAAATATTCCTTCAGCAGGTAGTGAATCAGATTTAATTAGTCAGACAAAGGGTTAAAATGATGTATAGTGCACAATGCAATCTTACTTTTATCCATATTTTACATATGAATTGGAATAACTCCTATTATGATAAGATTTTTCTTGTGTGTTAACTCTATTAATAATTAATTTGGTATGAGAATTTCTCTCATGTATTCATGACATTCATTAAGGAGAGCTAAGTGCTTTCTTTGATTTGGTATTTATCAAATACTGAGTGAGATATGATATAGAATATGCTATTGAATGAAAAGTAGACACTAACTTTGTATCATTTTGTTTTCATTCCTAAATTATCATTTGAAGTTTTTGGAGAAAATGAAGGAGAAAGTCAGGTTGCTGGGAGTGATGTGTTTCAGTTTAGAACTCCAAAAAAGTCAGGAGGCATGGCACAAAAAGGTATGCTTAATTATGTAGATAGTATCAACAACTCATGTTGCATTTTTAAGCTAATTTAAACAATAATTTTTTCTTTGTTTTTGTTTTTTTTTTCACATAAATATTTGGATGGTGTAAGAACTTCTATTTGTGTTTACTCTGAGAGCATAGTGACTCAGGTTTAATTTGTGGATCTTTTATCTTAAAGACTAGCCAGATTTTAATTGTGATAAAGTGAACTTCATGATCTCAAACATCAAATTCTTGAATACCAGTGATATGTCAATGTAAATTGGTAGTTCCAACCACTTTTTCTTTATGTTTTTAACCTCGTTATCTTGAATCCTTAGATATCTTGAAGTTTAATCTTCTGCCTGTCAAGTTTGAGGTAACAAAGTTTAACTGTATTTGTGTATATTGTATATTTTACAAATGACTTTCATTAATTCACAAACATTCTTTGTTAAGCGTCCGAGGCAAGAACGCCAAAGACTCCGAAGTCCATACTGAAGAGCAGTGGCGCGGTCTCAGGGAGGAAAGGATCCCAGAGTGTGACCCCACAAAAAGGTTGGGGGGATACAACTGTATCACATTGAAATGTGCTTGAAAAGTTTTTCAATTTAACTAATTTAGAAATTTTTCATCAATTTGATTGAAGAGTTATAACAAGTTATTTTACACAAATGTGTATTTGCATGTGTACAGTAAAACTCGGTTATAGCAAAGTTCTGGGGACCTGCGAATTTACTTCGCTTTATTAGGGCCCGGCAAGGATTTGCGGGTGCCCTATAGTAATCACTCTGTCTGTCTGTCTGTCCGTCTGTCTGTCTGTCCGTCTGTCTGTCATTCTTCCATCCACAAATTTTCTGTTTTTTTCTAATAACTTTTTTTAAGGTTGACCAATTAAGTTCAAATTTGGTATGCTGGTTGAATAGGCAGTAAGACATATTTTGATGCTAAGTTTGGTTTTCTTTGTCATCGGGTTTGGAGCTGGGGTGGTGGGGTAGATTCCTTTACTTTATATAAGAGTGAATTGGCAAAGAGAGATAACTGCTGAGAATGTTCCTTTTGTAAACTATGAAATGCTGCAATGAGTCTCTTGGGATTAATTAACTTTCCTCTTGAAGAAAATCCAAAGCATTTATCTTTATCTGCCACATTGAGATTAATTAACACCTCTGTCTGCAAATGAAGTTTGTTTTGAAGTTAAGGTCAATTCTGAATGATGTTTACATTTTTAGACGGTGGCTATTTATAGCCACAGGCCATTGCTGCTGGTCTGGGCTATGAATAAACAACAGTGTAAAAACACGGGGACCCTAGCGGCGATTTTTGCAGAGACAAAATAATGAAAGTGGAGTCGTTTCGATGTTCGAAAATAAAATGTACATGGTTCTCAAGTAATTTCAATGACATTTTGTTGATGGGCGCAAAGTTTAATTCCTGATATTTCCCGTTTTAATATTTCTCGCCTCATGAATATTCATTAAACTACACCGACTTAATTTTTATTCGTACAAAAACTGATTCGTATATAAGGAGTCAATTCGTATGCAAACCACAAAAGTCAATTTCATACATAAAGTTTGTTGAGTATGAAACAAATGCAAAAAGATAGTTTGTATAAAATATAATTGTGTAAATGTAAAATTTCAATAAAATTTATTAAGAGTAAAAAAAAAAAAATCTGGGGGAAAAATATTTATGGATAATGGTTTCACATTACACCTTATCATCTTAGGAAATAAAATAATTATTGTTAAACCAACACACTCTCGGCGGTTTCTTCGCTGTTGGATGAGTGACAAACACTTATTATACGAGATGTTCCCAATTTGGTATTCCCTAATTACGAGATACCCCATGCTTGGAAAGCGCCAATCCCCAAATTTCTCCATTTCCGAAAATTCAGTTAACATGATTCGAGGACTGCGTATTCCTTGTTGCAGAACTGCATGTTTTATTTGAGACGTTTTGTGAAATTTTTATACAATAATACTTATACAGTTTATTGAAATTTTACGGTGTCTTTTGATGAATGGAATTTCTAGTATCTGTTGATGATACTATATTAGAAAAAAATATATTTCGGAATGGAAAAAAATCACGTCCTCTTAAAGTTTACATAAAAGAGAGTTGTTGAAGGCAGATACGATGCCATTTTGCAAAGTTAATTTCGGTTCTATCTAAAAACAAAAGTCATTGCCTAATTATCTCGGACACAAAAACTACTGAAAGGATGCTAATTTATCAAAGCTATAATTACAAGACTGTGACGAACAAAAGTTACCCATATATTTCATTTGTATTTGAAAATTCTATCGTGACTCGAATAAAATTTACCCTTTAAAAAGTGTAAGAAAAAAAACTACACAAATGCATGTACATGAAATATTAGGATTTTCTTGTGAATTCAGTTGATTTAATTTAGGTCAGTCTTCTCCTACATGTGTTTTCAAAACTTCGTATTACGCAATGACTAGCAGGGTCAGTGCATATTAAGATACTAAGAGAAATAGAGGGTGAAAGATATTTTGTTATTCTGTTCTTTTTTCTTTTCTTTTCAAACAGTATATATATATATATCAAACAAAAAGGTAAAACTACTGTACAATTCTTGAAGTCTTTCAACCTTATAGAAATACATGTAAGTAAATTACTGGAAATTTGGCAAAAACGGGGATCCAAAGATAAAGTCTATTTCATTATCTTTCAGCATATGATATATGTCGCACAATCTACAGTACATCGCCAAAAGTGATTCATCATTTCCCTTTTTACCATATATTTTAAGAAAAGTTAGTTTTTTTTGTTGTTTTTTTTTAAATATTGTGAGTTCAATTTAACTCCAGATTAGCAAAATTTGATAATTAACCACTGAGTATAAGAATTTAAATTATAAAATCACAATTTCTGTTTAACAACTTCAATTAATACATGTCGTCATCATACTGACGCAAATATAAAATAACTCATCAAATGCATGTATTGTAAAAAATTGCGACAAACGTTCATAATTTCCATATCATTTTACAGATTCTCATATTAATTTATTTAATTTAATTCATTCATGCCAGTGGCCAATAATTAGAGCGTTTGCTCTAGAGTCATGGAGTATGGAGTCGATCCTTAGGTCGCGGGTTCGAATCCCACTGCGGGACGTGGAGACCGGTCCTTCAGATGAGAACGTTAAACTGGGGTCCCGTGTCGCAGTTAGTGCTGGCCAGAAAAAAGATCCCTCACTGCACAATGGCCCCGAGTGTTGAGTATAGATATAAAATTTGCAGCCCACCAATGGCAATGGTGGCGTCTCATTATGAGTGAAAAATTCCCGAGAGGGACGTTTTAATTAAAACAAACAAACAAACAAAATCATTCATGCCACCGTCTATCAGTACTCACAGTACTTTGATTAAATAATGTTCATACTTTATTTTGGTAAAATACACAATGAGTTATGATTTTATGGAATTCTAAAAACAAGATATAGATAAAGATATCTTTTTTTATTATTATTATTATTTTATTTTGGCTGCCGTATGTAAATTCAAGAATACTATTTATTTTAACAGGTATTCAGATAATAACCTCATTCTATCATTGCTGAAAAAGTTCTTATTGTAAACTTAGAAGAAAAGATTGAGAGAGCAGTATAATTAATCCCATGGGTTTGATTATCTTGCTGGTTTTCAGAAAATTTTAGAAGGTTATCATTCTGTCACTTTAAGATTAATTAACACCTTTGTCTGCAACTGATATTTGTTTTTAAGTTAAGGTCAAGCCTGGGTGATATTTGCATTCACTGAAGGCTGGCGTTTTAAAAAACACATGCTTCATTCTTCTTTAAATATACATTTAATTGATTTATAGATATGATGTTTTTTACTGCCTTATGTAAATACAAGGATACTATTTACAGATTGTTGGATATTTAGCAGTTGCTGTTGCTTATTCTTTGTATATTTTTAAATTTTTTGTAATCAAGTAAAATTCTCATCCCCTAATCTGCACCCAAAAATTTCTACCCCTCGGCGGGGCCCTTGCTGACAGGTCAGATTTCTAGTTCGTAATACATTATATCCGTATAACGAATTCGTTAAAGTATTTATGGCGAATTTGCAATATAGATTTTTTCTTTCAAGTATTACTACCAAAATGTATTTAGGGAAGTATAGAATACAAAATTTACCTTAGAGTTCAAAAGTTTTTGGTCGAACTGAGTTTCAAATATAAATGCTTACGAAAAAAAATGCTTTAAAAAAATTAATATCAGTTCAATATTTTGAAATTGAGATCTTTGAAAATTCCTTATAAAAGATGTAAATTTCGGTATTTTTAACTTCTAGGGGATACAAAATCAGTTTGCTATAACCATAAATTGGCTATATCCAAATTCGTTATATCCATAAAATTTTACCAGAAATTATTAAGAATTTTGCCGGGGATAGCAAAATACTTCGCAATATCCGTAAATTTGCTATATCTGTGTTCGTACTAAACAAGTTTTACTATATATTTTTACATAGAATAAACTTGAACTTTACTTATTTACATGTACAAGTAGTATATATGTAAGTTGCAGCTGAGGAGATAATAAGAGATAAAATATACAAGTGTGTCGAACCTCATATGTTGTTCCAAGAATAATTCATTTTTAATTCAGTGGTATAAAATGGTACATTTTACGAGCTTTCTACTTTCCAAAATATATTCATTGACTTACACTTGTCTAATTTCGTGTTGATTTGAAAGATGCGTCCACTGACCCAACTAAAAGCAATCTTTATATCGTACGTTATTGAATGATTTGGAATAGTTGCCTGTTTATATATAAATTATGGTTTTATTTATAAATACAAAGATTTAATGATGTTTGATCCAAGCTTGCAAATCTGAAACTTCCAATTCAATAGATATAAATTATAGATATAAATTAATGTATTTTGAAAAACCAGTTTACCTTATTTAGGAACAGGTGATAACTGCTCATATTTTTACAGGGGAAGGAACTCCTACAAAGAGAATGCAAGTGAAGAAGAAAGGGAGGAAACCAGAGGCCACAACTCCATTTAAACTTAGGAAAAGAGCTGAATGTAAGTGGTTATTATACAGTGCACTGATACTGAAAAGAGCTGAGTGTAAGTGTTTATTATATTGTGCACTGATACTTGAGGATAGAGCTTTCCTATCCACCAAACTCTGTAATCTTCAGCTTCTCTGATCAAAGTTAGCGTATCATTTGTTCAATTTCAATCACACTCAAAACATTCAGGAATTGAATGAAGAATATTGAAGTCTCTTTCCCAGGGAAGATATTTAAAATGTAGGTTGATGGAGTCATTTGAATATTTATTTTGGAGAACTATTGATTTGAAAGAAGCATATTGTTCTTGTGATACAGTATGGTACAATGTTTATAAAGAAAGGAAGATAAAGAAAAAATACCCTTTAAGTGTATTAAAGTCTTTTTAAAAAGCTACCACTGTATATTTGCCAAATTTATTTTTATTGGCTGTACTGGTCATAGACCAGAGGACTTCATCAGGGTTTGAAATGTAAATGAGTGGTCCGGCCATGTTATATGTACGTGAACTAGACCGATTGGTGGTGTTAAAAATAATTGTCAAACCCTCATTTCAGTCTTTCAAATAAATAATCTAAAAACTATATAATTTTTTTTTATTTGTCCAATTGTAATTAGTCGTTGCTGCATAAAGAAAAAAAATCCTCACATGACACAATCACTATCTTTAGCCACGTCTGTAACAGACTAGTCGCGGTCGAAACTACTGTCATTAAGGTGTAATATCCCTCTGATAAGAGAGATAACTTTCCAAGGAAATTATTCCAAGAAATCCAATGAATTATCTTGCCAGAGTTTAATAATGAGGACCATTATATAGTCCACTCATTCAAATCCGAAGTATGTTACAAATACTGATGTCTATTTTCTATTGCTTATATTTTTATTAATATATAAAGATAATATAAATACTGCATGTAGTTGAGTGTAACATTGAAAATTTTCACCCTAAGAAAAACATTGTCAACCGAGGCACAGCAGAGGTTGACAATGGTTTTCGAGGGGTGAAAATTTTCAATTTTACACTCAACTACATGCAGTATTTATCATATTATACTGATTGTTTTATACAAATACATATTACAGTGAATCTTGTGCGCATGAATTCTGCGCAGTCAATATTTTTTAGAATAACACCCTTCGTCAAGCAATGTTAACTGTTGCTACGCTGAAGGGCGTAGCTTCATTATTCTGCGGGTAATAGTGTTTTTTAACAAATGTTTCTCGATGAATCAGATTCAACTAATTTACATGAAAGTATAATATAAAAAATTATTGATCTTTCTAATTCGCCATATCAAATTTTCTTCATATCATGATTAGACATAATATTCATTTCTGAAAAAGTAAACAATGCTTCATACTTCAAACTATTTTCCATTTGAATCTAATGCTATTGTTGTTGATGAAAATCAATGTTGCGAATTTAATATAATATACATTTATTGACTGGGTTCTAGGGCAACATGCGTTTTGTCGGACCCAAGAACCAAAGCAAACGGTTTGGTTCGAGGGGTCGACAAAACGCATTTTGCCTGAGAATGCAGTCAATAAATGTTTTGTTATACCTTTTATTTATTTATTTTATTATTATTTTTTGACATACATGTATGTCGAACACCAACGAATGCAAATGAGATTTAGCTGACCCCGCCCATTATGTGAGGTAAGCGGTCCAACATCTCATCGACAGGTCCAATATCTCACTCCGCGGTCAAACATTGATTTTTTATGCCCGCTCAGTAAAACATTGGAAATGTTACACTTTTTCTAGTAATGATTTATACATTGTATAGGGACAAATTTTTAAAGGTATAACAAGTATAGATATGAGTTATCTTGCTTAAGACACTTTATATTCAACTAAAGGGAAACAATGCAGTTTTCACCCTGCATGCTCACTTGTGCTTTTTCATTGTCATCTGAAGGAAGACAACACAGTTGTCACCCAGCGTGTGATGGACATTACAAATTGTCTCCCCTCACGTGACATGCTCTGAACCAATCAGATTGACTGTATAATTCTGAAGGATAATAACATCTGATATATCAGTTTTAAACTTTATTGAATGGAATTGCAATGGTTACTAAAATATATGAAGCTGTGAAATGCTTTCATAATTTTGCTTTTATATCTACTGTTTTGATCAGACTTGAAAAAGAAAACATGGTACACAGTAGACTGCATAAAGATACATATTTCTTTATATTGGTTCTTAATTTTGATGATGGGTGTTGCCATGTTAACTGAAATTTGAATAATGTGGGAATTTTTTTTAATATTGATAAAGGGTTTTTCCATGATTAGAATGTCAACCAAAAAAAATGAGACTCTCACAGAATCTTTGTTACGTAGTGCCATTGTGCACCTCCTATTTTACTTTTTGATCGGACACATATTCAGGTTTCCAATAACAAAACATAGACACTGCCATTCTTTCTATAATATTGAGGGGAACTCATCTCTTATCTGCAACTCTTCCTACATGTATACCACGGAATAAAATTTAATGATACTTTCACAGAATCTTTATTACATAGTGTCATTGTGCACCTCCTATATTACTTTTTGACCTGGCACTTATTTTGGGTCTCCCATAGCAAAACATGGACTTTGCCATTATAATCATATGGGAGGCGGGGGATATCATTTTGTGAGATCAGTTCTCACAGTACCTCTAGTTTATATAATATGAAAATTTCAAAAGAATACTTTGGATCACTATATTTTTGGGACACCTTATTTTTGTGAGATATATGTAGCTGTTTGGTATTTATAAGTGAGACAAAATTTTGCAAGCTTTGGTTATTGTTAAAAATAATCTTTAACAATACAAACATAGACGAGAAATGAAATTTTCACGAGCAAACGGACACAAGTAATTACACGAAAATAAAGTTTTTGTGAATAAAAAGTGATTTACAGTGTAATAAAACATGAAATTCTCTCTAATTTATACTTCTTCTCCAGATTTGGTTTGAATTGATGTATGATTACCTATTGTATGTAGTACACAAGTTCTCTGTGTTTCAGTGGGTGTTGCCATGATTGTGAAATTATACATTTCAAATTGCTCCTCGATCCTCCTAGCTTCTAAAATTTTGGCCTGATCTCACACCTATAGCTATAACATAGGGTTATAATTTTTTGGCATGTTCATTTCACCATAAAAGGATGTATCATGTGCCATCATTACCTCTATAATATCTATGTGACCGAAACATACGATTCTTATAGCTCTCAAAGGGGCAACATGATCTTTAGAGTACATGTGTAATTAAACTTTTTAAACAAGCAGAAGTGGCACACAAATACATGTTTTTTAATAATGTGTGTTTTGTGTTCAAGTACATTTAGTGGGACATCTCAACATCAGAATTTAAACTTCAATGTGCAATTAACCCACAATATTAAAAGCGATTTGCAGAAGGTATATATACACATCCATTGCTGAAATACAGTCTATTGTTAGATATATGGATTTATTGGACATACCATATTTATATTTTGCTTGTAAAATATTTGCAATATAAATGATTTATTTGAACTTATTTGAATTTTGAAAAGATAATCTTTGGGAAATAAAGGCTGCCAATCTTCAAAAAGTAAACTGTAATTCTTCAAAGTAAATCGTTTCAAAAGAAGGAACGTTCAAATGATGAAAAGTACAGTAAACTTGACTGAGGTTATGGTGTATGTATTTATAGATATCTGTGATGATATTGATGTGGACTCGGACTCTAGCGATACTGACAGTGAGGAGGGGGGAAGTGACACAGAAACTGTTAAAGCCCCCCCTACCACCCCCAGATCACGCAGGAAGATTCAGGAGACAGCTGATATGGTGACCAATTTTTATCACAAATACATTTTATATTCCTTGGCCATTAGAATCAGAATTATGCCAATAAATTGCTTTTATAGAGTAGTATATCATAAATTTTAAATATGCCTGGAAACTGTGATTAAAAATTATGAGTTGCAAAGGACAAGGTATGGTTATGGCCGAATCTGGCCCCTTATTTGATGTAAAAATCAGAACACGGTTAAAATTTTGATACTTTGTAGTTAAGAACTTAAAATGATGCTTGTTTTAAAACCAGCATTAATTTTGATTCAAAACTTACAGGGAGTCCACAAGAGGGTGCAGAATTAGGCCATTTTCCCGAATTTCCTCAATTCTGGTGGAATTTCGTCAAATTTGAGATAATTTTCACTTCAGGAAACATAGAGCACAAGCTTGCCTATCTGAGATTTTTATACATAAGATGCACCTGATACTAGTGTATGAAATATATAAATTTGGTAGATAGGCAAGCTTGTGCTCCATGTTTTCTGAAACAAAATGTGCTGTAAAATTGATGAAAATTTGCATAAAAATGAGAACATTCAGAAATTGACATATTTTCTGACCTTCCTATGACCTCTGTGTATCTCATAGCTTAGAACCAATACTCATTTTGTGGCAGGGGTGACAACAGGTTTTTATTGAGAAACTGTTGCATCATTCTAAAAGGCACCCCAAACCAGGGGCCAAAAAGGGGTCTTAGCCTATCTTGTCCTTTATATGCTATACAGACATACATGTACTATTTGAATACTGTAGTGTAAATTTTGTATTAGAGAAGTTATACATAATGTGTATGAAATTGATGTGGAAGAAATGTATGTGAATTTCACTTCCATGTTCTGTTCATTGGAAATTCACTTAAAAATATATTCTTTTGAATTCTCTGTATATATGACATATTCACAGGAATACCTCGTAAATGTAAAATTATGTCAAATTCATGTGTATAGATGCAGCTTGTATTCCTGTGTCAAGGAATATTTTTCGAAATTCAGTTGCATACTAGGTAATTGGATTGTGTTCAACGTATATCTGCCTTTTCTCATATATATTATCTTTCAATTATACATGTACCATAAAATGGATTATTTCTCTGCTGTTGCAATTTTTGTAAATTGTGGCACTTCAGTAAAATCATAAGAAAGAAAATATCAAAATATTCAAATCCACCATCTTTGGCATTGCAGATCAAAGTGCAGCAGAAAGATAGCTAATGGAGAAATTTGAATGGTCCCTTTGAAAAAGCAAGTTGCAAAAATTTCAAACTGTAGAAATTATACATTATACAGTGATAATTTCATTTGCCAATCGTTTATTTTCAAAACAGCCCCATATGGTAGAAGAATACTTTGACCTACATTCACAAGGGGGGATAACAATGGTAACATCTGACAGAACTCTAGCAAAGCTTGGTACAACAAAGATGGACCAAGACTCTCTAAACGAACTTCTTAAAAGGATCCCAAGCAAACACAGTAATGAATGTAAACAGATGTATGAAGAACACAGAGAGCTCTTTCCTAGGTGGATGTTTCATATGTGGCAAGTAGACTTTCATTTCCACTTTAAAAATTTAAATTTAGTTTTGTCAAATTTTCATGTCTGAATTATGAAGTAAAACTGAATATTAAAAATGGAGCATTAGAGCCCAGAAGAGCCCGTCTTAGTTGTAGGATTGATAAACTTAATGGAATATTTGGTTACTGATTGTCATTCATACTAGAAAAAAATATCTACTTATTGTACCCCCCCACCCTCCCACATATGAAGGAATGACCTTGTCTGTCTTTCCATTCATCGTTGGTACAAAGATTGATTATGACCTGAGAGTATATCATGACCATGATCCAAGGTAATTCTGGCAAGTTCAAGGTCACTGGCAGAAAAATAAAATTCTTGTGCAGCTATAACTTTGTAATGGAGATTCTTTGGAAGCTCATACATGGTGCAAAGAATGTTTATGACCTGAGGGTATGTGTTGACCTTAAATCAAGATTATTCTGGCAAGTTCAAGGCCACTGGCAGAAAAAGTATGAAAGTCTTGTCTGGTCTACAGTTTCTTCATGGAGAAAAATTCATTCAAAGATTGCTTATGACCTGAAGGTGTGTTGTGATTTTCAACCAAGGTCATTTGATCAAGTTCAAGGTCACTTACAGAAAAATGTTCAATTCCTTTCCTTACCATATAAACACTGGAAGTTCATAATTCTTACAAATATTACTTATGTCTTCGACATAGTATATTAAATCCCTGGAAAATGTGTGCATGGTTCTTCCTTTATTTAGTCATAAAAGGCCTTATTGTCATTTTCTCTTTGCAGCAATGGGTACAATATATTGTTACATGGTCTGGGCTCTAAGAGAACTTTAATTGAAGACTTCAGAAGATCTGAACTAAAAGATGTAGATCATATTGTTGTCAATGGGTATTTTCCAAGCCTCACCATTAAACATGTAAGTCTTAATTTCATATGTAACTGCATTACTCAGTAGTGTTTTGTATTGATCATTGTCTGTGATGAAAATATTCAAACATTCATTGCATTGCATTCATAATGAAGTACATGATAGTTTGTAGAGCATTCAGTTGAATCTGCACATGGATTTCTATTTTTGGGATATTGATATTTATGTATAAAAAAAATATACTTTGTAATCGTTAATTCACACTTGTAATATTCATATCATTGGTTAACTGAGAAGTTGATATTTTAGCTCAAATGAGCTTTTCTGATCACATTTTGTCCAGCATCTGTCTATCTGTCCATCTGTAAACTTTTCATATTCTCGACTTCCCAAGAATCACAGGGCCAATTTTGACAAAACTTGCTACAAAGCAACCTTGGGTGAAGGGTATTCAAGTTTTCTCAAAATGAAGGGCCAAACCTTATTTCAAGGAGAGATAAATAAGAATTAGTAAAAGTTTAATGACATCTTTCAAAAATCTTCTTCTCAAGGACCACTAGGCATTAAGATTTGAAACTTATTTGAAAGTTTCAGTACCAATACATAGAATAAGTGTAGATTTAAGTTTGTTCAAATCATGACTCCTCAGGATAGGGTGGGGCCACAATAGGCGATCAAAGTTTTACATAGGAATATATAGGAAAAGCTTTAAAAATCATTTTCTCAAGAAACACTGGGCCAGAGAAGATGAAACATATGTGTAAGCTTCATTACACAATGTAGATTCAATGTAGATTATTTAAATCATGACGCCAAGGGGTAGGGTGGGACCACAATGGACAATCAAAGTTTTAATATAGGAATGCAAAGTAAAAAATCTTCAAAAATCTTCTTTTAAAGAACAGCAAAGGCATGAATAGTCATATTGCTATGGAAGAATCCTCAGGTAGTGTAGCTTCAAGTTGGTTCAAATCATAAAACCCTAGTTTGATCTGTTCTGTAGAATTATTTACTTTTGTGAGAAACCTAGACGGTTATCTCAAATTACTAAACCTAGCTTTTCAAATTAATAAAAATATGCCTGTCTTGATATCCAAAATCACCCAAAATGTTTTAGCCATTTCTTGATTTCAAGATACTTAAACTTCTTCTACTTTTTGTGTTGCCTGCAGAGCAGAGTGACACTTAGGGATCACTTTACCCTGCGACTGTCTGTCCAACCATTCCTTTGTCTAGCTATTTGTCCATCCATCTGTCCAACCCTATATTTTGAGAATGGTAAAAGATGTGGATCTTATATTTTGCACATTTATTGCTTGGCACTTTGGCTTTTGTAAAATACCATGGTTACCAACTTCAAAATCTCTGAACTTGACCTTTGACCTATTTTCAAAATAGTTCGTTGTGCCAATAAACAGCATACATTGTATTTTTGACATTTACATGTAAGAGGTAAATATATGCTATTTAGCATGGACACTTTTTGACATAAAACTTCATGAAAATTACCAGCATTACAGTCCACTTCACCTTCTTCTTTGACCTACTTTGCCAAAATATTCCGAACACTTGATTTAATTTGTGTCTCTTTTGATTTTGTTAGGCAGGGTTTTGATATTAGCATTTATATTTCATGTTCTCATGTCTCTGTACTTTGAAACTGTATGCTATACAGTAACCACACAAACTGAAATTTAAATACAGTTGAACTTCGGTATCTTGAACACTGATATCTCAAATACCATGGATATGTTGAAGTGATTTTGAAGTCCCAATCCTTTTTTTTTTTAAGTATTTTACCCTCGGATATCTCGAAGTTTTTTCTCTGTCCCATTGAGTTTGAGATAACAGGGTTTGACTGTACTATGAAAATACATTGGGATCAGTATACCAAAAGGATCATTGTAGACTGATAATATTGCAGTAAAGAAAGACTGAAATCTCCTTTTGAGGATAGTTGGATGTAACACGTATTTATAATGTTTGAAAATGAAAAATAAATATTTCTGATATGTAATTTCAATTTCATTATTCACTCTAGCTTTAAAGGTTGGGGAATCATATTTCTATTTGAATGTCAGATTTTAAATGATATTCTATCGGTCTTAATATTTGTGGATTGTTTTCTTTGCTATTATGAATCTTGATAATGTTAGTAGCAAATAAATAACTGGCCATCCTTCAATTCATTGTTATCTTTAATGATATTTAAGCTGCTGTAAAGCAGGCAGCACATGTTCCTTGGAACACTCTAGTCTCTGAGTCTCTGTAATATTTCTCCTGGTTTGAATTGGCTCATTGAAAGTAATTGCTAGCTGGGAGGAAGGGATAGTCTCTCAGTGAATCACATGTTTTTCAATCCATACGGTACCACATCTGTTTTTCAGATTTTGAATACTATAATTGATGACATATTAGAAGCAGAGAGCAGCCACAGAAGTCCTCTGGATCAAGTAGAATTCATTAAATCACAGTTTGAGACAAAAGGTTAGTATATTTAGAGGAAAATTATGAATTATAAGTTTATATCACAGGAGTTGTCACAGTAGCCTATACACACACATGTAAAATCCATAGAAATTTACTGGGTATATACAGTTGCACTTCAGTATCTTGGACATCCATATCTCAAATACCATTGATATGTCAAAGTGATTTGGAAGTCCCAACCACTTATTCTCTAGGTGTTTTACCCTAAATATCTTGAATACTTGGATATTTTATTTTTTTTCGTGATCCAATCAAGTTTGAGATAATGAGGTTTGACTGTATATAAATAATTTTGGGCACCTTTGATATGTGAATGAATTAAACAACTTAGTCTCAATTATTTTCTTCCAAAGATTACAGGGATTTCTTCCTCATTGTACATAACATTGATGGGGTGATGTTGCGTCCAGAGAAAGTTCAAAATATTCTAAGTTTGTTGAGCCAGATTAGAGGATTCCATATTATAGCTTCCATTGACCACATCAATGCTCCACTCAGTAAGTGTAAATTTTCTGCTTTTTTATGTGTTGGGTATTTAACATTAGATACATCTATCTTTCATACATAAAACACAATGATACTAGAAGCATGAAAACCAGAGCCAGATAGTAGAGGCATGAAAGTCAGAATCAGATAGAAGAGGCATGAAAGCCAGAGCCAGATAGTAGAGGCATGAAGCCAGAGTCAGATAGTAGAGGCATGAAAACCAGAGTCAGATAGTAGAGAAATGAAGCCAGAGTCAATTAGTAAAGACATGAAAGCCAGAGTCGGATAGTAGAGGCATGAAGCCAAAATCAGATAGTAGAGACATGAAGCCAGAGTCAGATAGTAGAGGCATGAAGCCAGAGTCAGATAGTAGAGGCATGAAAACCAGAGCCAGATAGTAGAGGCATGAAAGCCGGAGACAGATAGTAGAGGCATGAAAGCCAGAGACTGATCCTATTTCATATGTTCTGAATAGAGTTTTATATTTTAATTATTTATTCTGAGCAATTGTACATTTTATTGGCAAATTTTACATTGCAAAATTATAAAATGCAAGTACTTGCGATGAGAATGCCAGTAAGTTAATCATTGTACTAGGCAGTGCATTTTGTACCTATCAGTATATAAAATTTGTTGTTTGAAATTACAGCAGGTTGTTGTTATAAGTTTGCCAGTTTTCAATTTTAATCTTGATATGAACAAACAAGTAAAGATGTTATATTCAATACAAAATGCCACTCTTCTTATTTAGTTCACTGAAGGCAGAATTGATAGCTTATATATATATATATATATATATATATATATATATATATATATATATATATATATATATATATATATATATATATATATATAGGCATACCTAGCTCACAGGTAGGTACATATTTTATTTTATTTTCAAAGTATGGGACCAAACAAAGTGCAGTCGATATTGCTGGCTATGGTATGATGTAACCACATACTTACCATATACTGATGAAACTTCATATGAGAACTCGCTCCTGGTACAGCAGACAGGTGCCCTGCCTCTCAGCTCAATGTCTCACGTCATGAAGAGCTTAACCACTAATGCCAAACAGATCTTTTTATTGCTGGCAAAACACCAGATGGAGAATAAAGATAGTGGTACCTATATAGGTAAGCCATTTTACTTCCTTCAAAATTGAAATTTATGTCAGTAAGATGAAGTGTCCTCTCGACATGTATATACCTGTATCACAGGTCAATTACATGTACACCTTAATTTTATGTTGATATATAGTTATATATACAGTTGAACTTCATTATCTCGAACACTGATATCTCTAATACCATGGATATGTTGAAGTTATTTGGAAGTCCCAACCACTTATTCTCTAAGTATTTTACTTTCGATATCTCGAATCATGGGATATCTCGAAGTTTTTTCTCAGTCCCATCGATTTTCGAGATAACGAGGTTTGACTGTATATGCTGGTTCTAATTTCATAGGATTGAAAAAATATAGCTTATTTTAAGAGCATAGAAAAATGTTGCAAACAAAGATTTTAATTTCAAGCTACATTTGAAAACTAATTAAAATAAATGTTGATTCCAATTGTTACTGTTCCCTGCTAAGGGATTGGCAATGTTGAATGGTAGATATTAAAATATATTAAAACATCTTAATAATCACTGCTATGGAGTGCAATTTACTAACGATGATGAATGGAAAAAAAAGAGTTCTGAAGAAAGTCTTTCATCAGGTAATATTTATTAACTGTTTTAATTTTTTTTAGGTATGTCCTTACAAGACCTTTACCAAAAATGCAGAGAAGCTTTCCTTGTGAACAGTGATTTAACATTACGTGCACAGTTAATAGAATTCAGAGATCATAAGCTGATCAAGTCCAAAAAGGTCGGTTATGTTTGTATCATTTGTTCACTTGATGTAACTTGATATGAAAAAAAAATCATCTATAATCGAAAACCATTTAAATTTTTCAAGAAATATCTTTTAACTTCAGTACAAATTACATACACCCGTACATTATGATGATTGTAATGAAATTCTGAAAAGCTAATACGTAAAGATCTATTGAGATAGTTTTAGTTCTGTGATTTTAATAAATATTATTGATTAATTCTAGGGTTTTGAAGGAATTGAATACCTTGTAATCCCAGTGGACAATGCTACACTAACAGAGTTTATAGAACAGCGTGAAAGTAATGTATAACTGGAAGCTGGACTTCAGTTGCAATTCAATTCATCCCGGGAAATGTAAGATTGACAATTATTTTGGTGCATCTGTATATATAAGTGTTTACTCGACGTTGTTATATGTATATTTCCCAAAAAAAATAATTAACTTATTGAACTTGGAAATAAATTGATGAATATTCATAATTCTGTTTGCTGTCTATTTTTTGGTCTACTACTAAAAATAGAAATTTCTATGATTTTTTTCCCCAAAATACGCCTCTAACAGTTTTTGTTCAATTTCCGTTGGACGTGGTACAGAAGTAGACTAATCTTAAGATACATAATCTATATATATAGAATTTTTGATTATGACAAATGGTATTGTCATGGTTACAAAAAAATAGAAATGTGTAATTCCCCCTCCTTACCTACAGTTAAAATCCAATTTCAGTATGACTGGGTACACAGTAGATTGTACTTGGATGAATAATTCTATTTATTGGTTTTTGATTTGTTAGTGTAACTATAAAGGATGACTGCAATGGATGCTGCAGTTTGGGTCTTGTCTTCTGTTGATTTTATGTCACTCCTGTTTATTTATTTATTTTCCTCAAGAATCTTGTCAATTTCGAGTCAATTTTGAATATTGAAATGATTTTAGACCGTGATACAATGAAGTAATCCAATATTTTGGGTCCTTACTGCTTTCCAAATATGGAGAGTTAGGTTAATAAAAATATGCATGAGAGATGGAGCTAACATTAAAAGTAGACTACTGTCTAGCATAATATACAATAACATGCATAAAGAAAATATATGATATCTCTCTATTCTGTAAGTGGTACATGTGCACTATTTACAAACTTAAGGTTTCACCAAAATTAACAATATGACCACGTCCTTGTAAGTACAAATAATTGCAAATCAATGCCTGACAATTTGAGGTGTTCGAACACTATGTCCTAATATTTTACTTTCATGTAAATTACTTGAATTTGATTAATCGAGAAACATTTTGTTAAAAAAAAAACTGCTACCCTCTGAATGATGGAACAACGCCCTCAAGCGCGATAGAACTTAGCAACAGTTAACGTTGCATATTCCAAAAAATAGTGACTGCGCGGTATCTATGCGCGCGCTCTTCTCATTTCTTTGTATTTGTATAAAACATTCAATATAATATAATAAATACTGCATGTAGTTGGGGGTAAAATTGAAAATTATCACCCCAAGAAAACCACTGTCAACCGACAAATGACAATGGTTTTCTTGGGGTGAAAATTTTCAGTGTTACCCTTAACTACATGCAGTATCTGTATATTAGCACATGACATGCTACCTTACACGTCATGTGACGGAATTTAGTATTCACAAAATAATTCTGTGTATCGGTTTTTGATTTCGATGAACGGTGTTGCCATGGTTACTGAAAATAGAAATTTCTGTGAAAAACATTCAAAATGCTACTCCTCCTACAGTTTTGATCTGATTTCAATATAATTTAATTTTGTTCGTATTCTAGCCTATGATTGGTTAATATAAAAAAAGAAACACAAATTATTTCTGTATAACCTGGTTTGGTATGGGGACACACCCCCCTGACAACCAGCTGAATCGTCTGTATCCATGCAATCCTCTCATTTCCAGTCCTCGGGATTCATGGAAAATTCCAGATTTAATAAATGTACCTTTAACTTCAAACAGTAACTCGGATCTTACCACATGTAAACAAACAACATGGCTGCTAGGACTATATATCAGTTTTTACCTCCCCTCGCTTCCCATCACTTCCGTTACTACGGTTGTATAATTGAGCGGCAAATTTGAACTAATAAAAAGCAACGAGATTTTACACCCACAGTTGTTTAATGATTTTAGAATTAAATTATAAGGAATGACTCTAATTCTTGGCCAAATTATTCGAGTATAACCTGGTTTGGGTCAGTTTACGCTGTTTTATAATCCGCTTCGCGGATTATAAAGCGTAAACTGACCCAAACCAGGTTATACTCGAATAATTTGGCCAAGAATTAGAGTCATTCCTAAAATAACTTGGCACACAAGTAGACTATACTAAGATGCATAATTCTGTTTATCGGTTTTTGATTTCGATGAACGGTGTTGCCATGGTTACTAAAAATAGAAATTTCTGTGAAAAACATTCAAAATGCTACTCCTCCTACAGTTTTGATCTGATTTCAATATAACTTGGCACACAAGTAGACTACACTAAGATACATAATTCTGTATATCGGTTTTTGATTTTGATGAACGGTGTTGCCATGGTTACTAAAAATAGAAATTTCTGTGAAATACTTTCAAAATGCTACTCCTCCTACAGTTTTGATCTGATTTCAATATAACTTGGCACACAAGTAGACTATACTAAGATGCATAATTCTGTTTATCGGTTTTTGATTTTGATGAACGGTGTTGCCATGGTTACCAAGAATAGAAATTTCTGTGAAATACTTTCAAAATGCTACTCCTCTTACAGTTTTGGTCTGATTTCAATATAACTTGGCACACAAGTAGACTACACTAAGATACATAATTCTGTTTATCGGTTTTTGATTTCAATGAACGGTGTTGCCATGGTTACTAAAAATAGAAATTTCTGTGAAATACTTTCAAAATGCTACTCCTCTTACAGTTTTGGTCTGATTTCAATATAACTTGGCAAACAAGTAGACTACACTAATGCCCTGTTCACACGGAGAGTTTAATTTGCAGTAAATTAATTCGAAGTAAACTAATGCGAATTAAACTAATGCGAATTAGATTGCGTTCACACGAGAGCTACTGAGAAGTAAACTAATGCGAATTAAATTTATATTTCTACAGTAAGGCTATTCTGTAAGCCTATTATGACGTCATTTTCAAATCACGTCACATTGTGCAGAGCAGGTACATTTTATATAATTAATATCATAGTGTCTGTACACATTTTATTGATTAAAATAATTTTCTTTGGTTTTCCACTCAAAAATAGCACAAGTTAGTATATCTGACCACCGACAAGTGGTCTTTGACTTAATTCTGCCCTTACGCATGCGTCAAAATTTAATTCGAATTAGCTTCGCTTAGCGTTCACACGGAGCTAATGCGAAGTAATTTAATGCACAGTAAATTAATTCGAATTAAACTAATTCGCATTAAATTCTCCGTGTGAACGCGGTTCAAATTTAATTCGCAGTAACTTACGTTTAATTCGAATTAAACTCTCCGTGTGAACAGGGCATAAGATACATAATTCTGTTTATCGGTTTTTGATTTCGATGAAAATTGTTGCCATGGTTACTAAAAATAGAAATTTCCTTGAAATACCTTCAAAATGCTACCCCTACAGTTTTGGTCTGATTTTAGTATTACTTAGCATACAAGTAGACTACACTAAGATACATAATTCTCTGTACCAGTTTCTGAATTCGATGAACAGTGTTGCCATGGTTACTAAAAATAGAAATTTTCTTGAAATACTTTCAAAATGCTACTCCTCCTACACTTTTTGTCTGATTTCAGTATAATGTGGCATACAAGTAGACTACAGAGATACATAATTGGTGTTATTGTTTTTTTGATTTTGTTGAATGATGTTGCCATGGTTACTTAAATCAAAATTTCAGTAAAATTGTTTTAAAAGGCTACTCCTCCTACAGTTTTAGTCTGATATAATAATAAATCTTGCCAAAAAGAGACTAAACCAAGGATCATTATTCTATTTATTGCTGTTGCAAAGTTTCAAGTCCAAGTGCTACTTTTATCTTCCTTTATAAATACAACCAGTAGAGCTACAGTCTCATCAGAGACTTCTGGTTTGAGTTCGATCACTGCTCGTTATCTTCACCTGTTGCATTACGATTGATTGATTGTTGTTTTACGTCCTATTATATTCGAGAATTTTTCACTCATATAGAGCAGTCACCATATCCCGGTGAAAAGCTTCAAATTTAGACTATACGCGGCACTCAGGGTCATTGAGCAATGAGGGGTTTTTATCGTGCCAACGCCTGCTGTGACATGAGGCCTTGGCTTTTAAGGGCTCCTCCAAAAGACTCGTGACTTTCATTTCTTATGTCTGGCGCTTGGCGAAAGAACGGTCACTATCTATGTTTACATCTTATGTTTGACGCCTCGCAGCAAACGAGAATCGACCTCGGGCATCCCGATCACGAAGCGAACGCCCTATTACTAGGTTCGTTTACTGATTTTAATTTTCATAGTCGTGTACTTATTTTAATTTTTCAAATAAAAATCAGTAAACGACACTAGGCTACCATGGCCGGTTTTTGCATTATAAAGAATCATTTGAAATCATCTTGATTCTTTAAGGTACATGTATATCTTTGGACTTCAGTACAGTGCTATGTACGTGTACCTGATTGTAACGAAATTATGAAAAGCTTTAGTTACAAATTCATTTTAATGTTTTGTTCTTTGAAATAAATAAAAATATTGATTAATTCTTAAGTTTGAAAGGAAATGAACTCCTTATAATCCTGGTGGACACTTCACGCAAATATTAACAGCTATGAAGGAGAAATTTCAGAAGTACTGTATAATAACATATTACAAAAGTGCTGTTAATCATGAATACTTCAAATCTCTAAATTACTTTTAGAAATTTGAATTACCAAAATTTTACCAAAATCAATAGCATCAAAACTTATGACTTCTCAACAACTTTTACATGCATAACAATTCCCCACAATAAAATATAGTCATGACTTTTTGACATAATAAACAACTGCTTCTTTAATAAAAATGGAACTCGTATCAGCATACCTAGTCATTGGTCATCTGCAAACTTTTTTATTTTATCTCATTCTACACACCAGTACTCCGAGGTTATATTAATATTACAAGGATGCTTGAGTTTCTAATTGACAATATCTATGTAATTTTTCGGAGACCAGGTCTTCTGATAATCTGTTAGAATTCCCATGGGTACTAATTTTCCCTCTTTATTATCGGCCGCAGGAGAGGATGTGGTTGTGTTTATATATGTGCACATAGAAAAATGAGACGTTAAATTGTTTCATTGCTTTGATGGAATAATTCCTTGTTGATAACACACATAAAAGTTATGAATAAAAGTTGTTAAAATTTGCTTAATATTAAGAATATTAAGTCAAAATGAGTGTTATAAAGTTTCACTTTTTTCATTTCCCAACAGATATTTATTAATTTTTGATTTTGTAAAC